AGAAATAGTGTTGGCAGTGATGCTAGACGCTTTCCGAACACCGGCCGTCCACCGGCCGAGCCGAACTGAGCCGAGTTATTGCAATTGACACGTTTCACCGCCTTTCGGATCTGCTCGAACCTCACGCTCCTTTAGTCCATCTCTTATTCTTTTTTTTTTTTTTTCGTTGAGGAGAAAGCATTTGAGGACTGCACTGGTTGGGAAACACAGTGATTTCTGAAAATTGCACTTGCGGGGGGAAGCATGTGCGTGGTGGTGGGACAAGTGGGTCGGGAGTGCCCCCTAGATGAAGCAAGTGAGATTTGTCGAATCCGAGATTTGGGTTTTGGATAACACGTATTGGCCAGAGGCTTGTACTGTTGTTGATTTCAGATGGCACCTGAGAAGTTCGATGTGGCGGAGCACTTCAAGAGCTTGCTGCGCGGCCAGGGCAGCAGCAAGTCTATCGGTCTGGCGGCCATCGAGACGCTCATGCGATGCATCGAGAATTCCAGAGGTCACCCCCTTATGTTCCACGCTTGTCTAGTGCCATTTGCTCAGTTACCGTGCTCGAATCGGCCCACCTCACAGGATTACTGCCGAGGAGTGAGGGAAAAAGGAGCTACCCTGCGATGCTTGCGGCAGTAGTTCTTATAAAACGAAAAAATGTGAAGTTTGTGGATGCAAAAAATTTTGAATATCGCTTTAAGCAAAACTATTTTTATGCATTTTTGAATGTATCGAAATTGCAACTCAGGCTGAAACGCACCGGGCGGGTCCGATCATACGTTTCTGCACCAGACTTAAATTACTCAGATCATTAACTGTACGAATGGCTGTTGATTTACACCTACCTGTTGCGGTCACTAGCATAAATCACCATAAATTTTGCAAAGCAAATGTACAATTTCCATTTAACAGTCGTTATTTAAAAGTAACTAGTTGTTCAGTGTGAAAAATTCTTTCGTCAAGACTTTTAAGTGCCTGTACGTAAGAACCACGCAAACCTCAAGGCTGAATTTGAAACGCTTAAGTTGTACTTGGACGGGGAACATTCCCTTTCCAGCTTTTCTGGTTACCGTCTTAGCAATTTTCCCGCCAAAATCTCCATATACTCGTACCTGGGTACTCCACGTGCTTGGAAAGCCGAATTTGAAATTTTTAAATTGCACGTGGACAGTGAACATCCGCCTAAAATTTCAGCCTTCCAGTTCTTCTGGTTGCCGAGTTAGTAATTTTCCTGCAGA